TGGAAAAGCTCTTCAAAGAGGAACTTACCTGCTGGGTCTCTGGAACATAAGTTACATAACTTACAGCTTCTGCTCCAAAGGTAAGAGGCTTCTGTACTCCTGGACCTGTCAGTCTCCTTGTAGGCAGGGGATGGAGATTTCTGGTGGTGGTGGGCATATATAACTCCTCTAGCTCTCTGTGGCTGTAGGTAAACCACATGTGCCATCCCAAGAGCAGTCACTGGAAAAAGATTGATACAGGTCTGATCTTTTGGAGGCAAAACACTTTGAAGATGGAGAGTGATACAGGTTCAGGGCCAGAGGGTTCATGGGGAAGCACTGACAACATCCACTGGAAAGTGATTCTGACACCTTGGAACCCAAAATCCCTATTCCAGCGAATGATCCTGTCAATCAAAAATTGTGTTTTTGTGGTACTGGAGACTGAATCCAGGGCCTTTGCAATGACCTACATTTCCAGCCCTTTTAATATTTTTTGTATGTTTTAATATTGAGACAGAATCTTGCTAAGTTGCTGGGCTGGGCTCAAACTTGTAATCTGCCGTAGATATTGGGAAGCGAGAAGAACATGCTCAAATGAGAAGGGGTACAAGGGAGGACAGAAGAGGAAGGGAAGGAAAAGAAAAGAAAAAAAACAGAATGGAAGGAAAAAAATGAAAACAAAGCTCTTGTAGATGGGGAGGGGAAGAAGGGCTGAAGGGAGAGGAGGAGAATGGGGAAAAAGGAAGAATCGAGATGTACTATGTACAGGTACAAATTCCCTATAATGAATGTGGTCAATATGTATGACAAATATGTACTAATAAAAAAATAAAGTTAAAAAAAACCCCAAAACTTGTGATCCTCCTGTCTCACACTCCCATAGTACTGGTATTACAGGTATGTGCCATCATGTCTGGTTTCAAGAACATTAAGAACAGTGTGACCATAAGCACCTGACTTCTGTATCTCAGTTATTTCATGAAATACATAGAAGCACTTAACTGAAGATTATAACGAGTATTGTGAACAGTAAAGTATTTCAATCATGGCACGTTATAAACAAAATTAATAATTTTGGTTTTTGAAAACCTCTTTTGCACTTAGCATGACAATTTTTAAATTGGGCAATGGGCTTCTTTTAGTTCCACAATAAATTTGTGCCAGATTCAAATTACATAAATAAGAGTAACATTTGGATTATATAAATATACATATATTAGTAACATATCAGGGATTGATAAAGTACATTTAAAAAGAAAGAAAAATAGGAGCTTGATCATTCATAGCAGAAACAAAATTATAATCCCTTTGACACTATCATAGAAATAATTGGAGCTAGAAGCTTGAATACTGTTATGGCTTATAGCTAGATGTCCTGGAAAAGCCTCATGAGCTCATAGGTGGGGCTTTGGGGAGTTGACTGGATCATGAGAGTGAAGTGCTCATCAGTGGATTAGTCCATTGGTGAGTTTATAGCTGGGTATGATGTTGGAGGTTAAGCCTGGTGAGAAGAAGTGGGCTTGACTTGGAAGGGCCTATATCCCTCCTCCCCCCTTGATCTCTCTTTGCTTCCTGTCTGCCCTGCCATACACTGTTTCTCCTCTGCCATGCTGCGCTGCCTTGGATCCAGCTAACTGTGGACTGAAACCTCTACAAACTGTGAGCCAAAATAAACCCCTCTTACTTTAACTTGTGGGTGTCCAATATTTTGTCTCAGTGATGAGAAAGTAACTAAAACAAATACTCTCTGAATTTATAATTTTGTATTATTTTAGACTTTAAATACACCTATAAATCAAGAAGACCTATGTTGTTAGTAGGAATAATTATGCCAAAAAACACTGGCAGGTTTTGGCCGAAGGAAAGAAATAGTAACTAAAATGCAATAAACTCAATCTTCCTAAAAAGTAATAATAAAAGACATATGGAAATACTTTTATTAGCATTGAGATAATATTAAATTAAGCCATAGAAAAGCACTAATACTTAAATTTTTTGACCTATGGAAACAGCAATTTCATATGATTAAACATGACACATAAAGCCTATTGGAAGATAATCTTTCATAGACTCATTTTCTTCCTATGTATCTTGCTGGCCAAGAATACAAGGACCTGACCATTCTGAATCTGGACAACTTCTCAGTTTTGCTTGCACTCGAGCAACCTCACATGATGAGGAAATATCTCCTTCTGAAGTGAAGATCAGGAGGCAGTGGACCCCAAGCTTCGTGTTCTTCTCCTGTAACACATCACGCTGCACGTGCACAGGCTGTCTGGGCTTTTGTATCATCCACTTGGAACTTAGGAGCAAAGGGAGTCAGTGTAAAGATGCTGATGTTTGTCCTGCTTAATGTACTATGCGAAATAATGTCTCTTGTCTCTGACCCAGGAGGTTCATGCCTTCTGCTAACATCCATGAGACAGTTACAAGCTAGCTTCTTAGCTTTAAAATTGGGTTAAATCAAATTCCAAATGCAACCAGGTGTGGTGGCATACACCTGTCTTCCCAGTATTCTTAGGAGGATCAAAAGTTTGAGCCTAGCCTGGGCAACTTAGTGACTTAGTAACTCTGTCTCAAAAAGTAAAAAAGGTGTGGTTATGTAGCTCAGTGTGAGTGCCCTGGGTTCAATCTCCTGTACCACAAAGAAAAGAAAAGAAATGAAAAGGAAAGAAAAGAAAAGAAAAGACCACCACCTATATACTACACCGCCACCACCAAAAACAAAAAACCCAAATCCCAGACACAACAAACACATAGTACAGGACACTCTCAAGATTGCATTATTTGCACGAGTTATGAAATTCTTCCAAATGATTATCATTTTATACTAGGAAGTAGAAAATATCCTTAGGAAAAATCAGTATGGTCATTTAGCATCTTCCTATCCTTATTCTTAGGATCCTCTCACAAAGTAAAAAGCATCCAGAAGAGGCAAACCATGGGTCCTGTCCTCTAGGACTCAGACCCTCAGAGGGTAGGAAGCCCCTGAAGGAAAGAAATCCTTCAAGGAAACAATGACTGTTTCCCAAAGTCTGCAAATATTCCTGTAGGAGGCTTCAGGCAAGCTGATGGATTGAGTTTCTATCTGTTCCCTTCCAATTTGATTTGTTCATGGGCTCAGTCATTAGACCTCAAATACACTTGGCAGTGAAGTGTTCCTGTGGTAGTCAGAGGTCCCAGTTATCTAAAAAGAAGTCTTGGAAGCTGAAATCCAGCAGATTAAAAATGATAAGCAGCATCTCTAAGCACAGTTTCTCTGCTTTCTTCTTGAATATGGCATTGAGTGGGCACACTAGCTTTCTTCCTTTCTAGGCTGACCATTGATAAAACCTGACCAATTTCCCTGACAGTGCCACAATTGTGGAGTTGGCATTTTTATGTAAATAGCTTTTCTCTGATTCATTAAGCCCTATTGCCCCTGACATTTTCCTTTCTGACCCTTATCAGGCACACACTAGCAAAACATGAAGAAATAAAGAGGACAAAGAAAGGCAATGAAAGGGTTACAACCAAGAAGTGTATTGTGACTGTGACCAACAAGGAAATTTGGAAATGGGTGACTGAACACTCAAGGATGCCCTGTTAGCCAGTCACAGCTACATTTGCTCCAAGCCTGTCAAGTGCTTAGCACCATTTCAAGGTGGCATGTAGAGATACATAGGAAATGACAGTCATGAGTGCTACTTTAAGAGGACTTAACATTTAATAGATGAGATGGCACAATTAAATACCTGTACATCCATAAACAGACAGTCTGGCTCTTGCTTACCTCTCTACTTACTCTTTATTTCTTTCATAACATGTGTCACATGTAACATTTAGTTTATTTATTTGTATTCTTGTTTAGTATGGCTTCTCCTGACCTAGGAGTTGCCTGGTATGAAATGGTGCATGCATTCCAATTATTTATGACTGCTAATCCGAATCTTACCTCCTGGTATATAAATTCTAGATAGACAGGGACCATGTCTATCTTATTCACCATTGTAACCTCACTGTGGATTCTCCAAAAGAAAGTAAATTTTTAAAATAAACATAAAAACCAGCCATATAGAGACATTATACAACTTACCTTCTGCTGCTACTAACTTATTAACACAAAATTAAGGGAGAACTGATTCAAAGGCTTAAGAAAAATTTTCAAAGAATTTAGGCTAGAAAAAAAAAGGTCCAGGAAACTATTTCTATTTCATTTTCCTTTGTGAGTGCTGAGATCATAAATCAGAAATAAATAGTAGAACATGAAAGGCCTATTGGAATCTCATTATGTGATCTTTAATGAGATTTAAAGAACAGTGGGATTCCACTGGTACTCACAGACTTCTCAAGGTTGAAAGCTGGGTGGAATAATAACAATTGAGTTGAGTCATCCCATGTTATAGCTGAGCTATTCCAATCATAATGCTAAAACAGCTTGCCCCATCCCTTGATGCTAAACTCAGCCGCATGATTTCCTTCAGGCAATGATATGTTAGCAAGTATGATGCCAGCAGAGGTTTAAAAAGTTCCCACATACCGAGACTTGCCCTAACTCTTTTGCTCTTTTTCCTCCACCAAAGCCATGAGCACATGCCTGGCCTAACATGCTGAAGGAGAAGGCTCATGTGCACAGACACAACTCCTTGTCCTAGCTGAGGCTGACCTAGCCTTGTTGAAAGAGTGATCCTGGACAAGTTCAACCAGTGGTCTTGACACTGATCACAGATACATACCTTAGCACTGGACCAGCAGGACTTCCTCACTGTCCTATATATAGATTGTGTGCCTCTGAGTTTAAGAGGGCTTAATTGGTAGCATTATTATAGCAATAACTAATACTATGCTCTAACAGAGTAATAAAAATTAATTGCCAGGAAAACAAATATTAAAATGTCCACACAATTCTTCTTTATTGGATTAGTGATTATTTTTAGTTCAGTGATTTGGTTTCTCTACAACCACCTACACCTTCCCTCCAATTGAGTCCACGTCACTGGGGTTGAGTGGGCTTGGGAAGGATGCATTTAGAGCAGAGAAGTGAAGAACTACAGCAAGCTCGGCACCACAGAGGTGAATGTCACCTTCCTGGCATTGCTAGAAAGCCAGTACTTTGCATGCACATGCTCCAGGATCGAGAGCACGGCCTCCATGGCTTCCTCACAGGTCAGCTGGATCTGATCTTCAGGCAGAATAAACCAGTGGGTGCCATTGTCCCTCAGTTTAAATGTGTAGGAGAAAGGGATCCTGATGTCTTGATCCCAGTCTCTTGAAAATTCAGATGTGGGATCTAGGAATGAAATATGACAGAAATAGAAACTGGACTTTGGAAGGACAGACTTCATTGCTATTCCAGGGAATAAGGCTTGTTCCAAAATATAAAGAAACAGTTTCAGATTAGGGCTCCCTTGAGAGTTGTCTTCTCCTTCCCCTTTATAGGTAGCTCCTGCAGGGTAGGGGCCATATCTTATTTAACCCCTCCACCCATGTAGTAAAGAGCAGAGAATCTGGTTAAAGTTTCTTGATGGAATAAAAGCCTAGGCAACCTCATATTGCAAGGTAAAGGTAAAGTAAAATGAAAGCTAACAGAAAATAATTATGCAAATGTTGTCAAGGTGGACCTCTGGAGGTCGAGGAGGTAATGGTTGGGGCTGGGAGAAGCAATGTTCTCTTCTTGCAGCTGAGGTCTTTTCTACTCTCTCCAGGCCCCACCCTGCTTGGCTTTCTTGGCCTGATGGGCCCTCTGGGAATTAGCTGAGCATGGCTCAGGGGACAGTGTCCTTCCTGTTAACTAATTGTCTTCTAACTTGCCAGCTCTTTTTCTCTGAAGCCAGGGGGCCCCTGTTGAAGCCAGTGTATTTTATTTTCCTTTCAGCTCACTCCTTCTTCCTAGAGAATATAATTTTGGACTTGTACAGACTTCCTTTTATCCTTGGTCATTTTGATTTGTACAACTCTCAGTTGGCCTACTCCTTTCCTGCCCACCTTACCCCTCATACTCCACCGACTTCTTTTGTGCCTTAGATACTATAGAAGAGGGAAAAGAAGACACTTACATAAAGATACTTACATACTTGATCCAACTCTATAATTGGTTCCATGCTTTGCTTTCAATGCATTTGCTGCCTTCTGTCCAACTCGAATCTGTAGGTGGGAAATGCAGAGACAGATATCTAGTGTTAAAAATAAACCCAGCAATCCAAATGTTGGGTGTTTTGTCCAGATCTATCTCCAGAGTTTTAGATCATCCTTCCAACTTCCCACTGAACTGGGTAGCCTGTTCATACCTGTAATTCATCACATTTATATTCAATTTGATCATCTCTCTCCCAATAAGGTTGTTATAAACTTCCTGTTTCTTTCATGCTCCCTCAACTCAAGGTAAAATCCTGCAGGCATCTTTGATTCCCCTTTTCTCCAACAGTTAGCAATCTGCATTTCCAGTGTCACTGCCCTATGTCAGACTCATTAGCCCTCAACTGGTCTGTTGCATCTTCTAATAAGTTTTTCTTCCTCTAATCAGTCCTTATTCAGACTGATCCCCCCTGGCTTCCAGATGTAGAGAACTATAATCATGATCTTGCTGAAAATGTTCAGTAACTCCTAGGTGCTCACTGAATTAAGTACAAACTTCTTATGCTCATTTTCAAGATCCTCTAAGATATGGTCCCCAGGCACCTTTCCAACACCATTCTCTGCACATGCACCCTGGATTATAATGAAACTCAAATTCCTCCATCTTCTTCAGACATACCCATTGCTTCTCAGTCTCTTTCTTTTCCTTGACGTCCTTTCTACCTAGAATTCCCACCTCTTACCTCTGCCAGCTCTCCCATTAGGCCTTACCTGATCATCTCATCTGGAGTCTATCTCTTGGATCACCAGTAACCCTTTGCTCAAACCTTTCTTACAATGCTCCTCTTTTTTTCCCTTATAGATATTTGAAGCCTATCTCACACAGACTTAGAGAATTGGAAGGTACAACTGTTCCCACACCTACTGCGAAGTCACCTTTCTTTGGAAGTCCCTGAGAACTAGATGTTTTCTAAGGTCTTAATCTTGCTCCATGCTGACCTTTTCCTGAGGTCAGAGTCACTAGGTGAGGTCCAAGTCTATTGGCTGTGATTATGGACTTTCTGATGCATTTTATTGCAGTCTCTAACACATCTGAGTGTCCCCATGCCCGTGGTGTGTTCTATCTACCATATGGTGCATCTCATGACTTCCTCTCAGGGTCTACACCCCGCCACTCTCTGCCTGCTCTGGGATCTGCCATCGTTTTGCCCTGAGGGCAGTCTGGCTGCAATGGCAAGTGTGCAGCTCCCTGACTCTCAGCTAAGGAAGTTTAGTTCTAGATCCTGCTTCTCCATACCTGGCACTGCACTCCCTGGCTGAATGCTAAAATGTGACAGAGTAGTCCTTGGTAGAACAGATTCTATCAAGAGAAATTCAGAGTAGAAATATAAAGGCAGTAAGCATGGTGAAGGGTCATAGGGAACAGCTGCAGGGAGCATCTTTTAGCTGCGTATTTCTATGTGTGGCTGAGATAAAAGGAAAAAACCATGATATTGAACATATTTGTAAGACTTTTGTCTTTCACCACTCACTACTGAGACTTGTCCTATTTTTCATCTACCTATTCTCTTTCTTTTCAAATTAGGACTCTGAACCTTCCTCAGTTCCTGGGTTTGTGCTGCTCAGACTGGAGACGACAGATAAAGAAGGCTGACGACGCACAGGTAGAAAATGAGTTTAACCATTTACACTGGGAAAGGGACAAGAGCTATTTGTAGAAAGAAGAGAAAATGATAGAAGGGAAGGGAGAGCCCAAGATTTCTGAGGAAAGAAATTCTGGTAACAAATGAGAAGGGCGAAAGGATTTGAGTTTCTGAGGTGTGCGATAAAATTAAGAGCAAGGGGCCCGGAAAAGCACTGCTATGACTTATCAACTACACTCTTCTTTGAAATTCTCCAAGAGTCATGTAGCTGAGATATAAATTGTTTTTAATTATTTTTAATTCCCATGTGTTTCTCTGTTTCTTTGAATGAGAAGCCATACTAACTGGTCCCTGAGGGTCTTACCTTTTCTTCGGGATACATGGATCAGCCCTAGGCTCCATTTTCCATCCAAATTAATCCTTGTAGGGTTTATTTTTTCTAACAGTTGCCCCTGACAAATCTTTTTCCAAATGCCAGCCTTTACTTATTTTACTCCCTATAATTCTTTTTTCTCAAATCCTACTGGCTGTGGGATGAGAAAGTCTTTCAGGTTTTTCTTTGTTGTTGTTGTTGAGAAAAGATCCTTTGGACTTTATTTTTAAACGGATTTTCCATTAGTAATGACTATAGGAAATACGGAATAGGAAATATATATGAGAAGTGTATACTTGTCATTCACAGCTTATAAATTCTGTCCTTTTGAAGAGGATGAGATAAAAATCCTCTAGACTTCTAATTTTCCTTTTTATCCCTGCAGGTGAGCTCTTGAGAACACGCTTTTTACCTGACATTATACCACAAGGACAGCAGTATCGCCATGGCCCTTCTCAGCTCAAAGGTACTTCTAGTAAAATGATTTAAAAACTCCTTTGTCAGTAGAACACAGCACACATGTTAAAGACCTCTAGCCTGCACAACTCCTTCGCCAAATCCAGAAAAATTCCCACAGGCATGTATTCACAGGCAGGTACATAAAAATTTTGCTCAAGGCCTGGCATGATGTTGGTGGGACAGGAGGGCAACAGCTTGGGATGGAGGACAGAGGTTGATAGAAAAGGAGTGTAAATGTAAATAATCTAAAGCAGTAGAATTTTTATAGCTATCCTAATTTCCAGGACAATTTAGAAAGGTGCTATAGATACTTACGTTTCCCCTACATAGTAGCTGCCAAATTGTATATCATGTAGTATAGTATAAACCATAATTTCTAAGAACTTTTGGTTTTGTAAATATAGAGATTACTAGTTTCTGTTGGTTGTAAATACTGCTGAAAATGGAAATCTCCTTGAAGTTGTGAGCTTGATTCTGTGTCACTGTGCATGGTGTCAAAGCTTACCCTGAAGAACCTCAAAGCACTGCTAAGTGGCTTCAGTAAGCTTAACACATGGGGAAATTTTCACCCTGACATTTTCTTGACAAGTCTTGAAGAAGAGTGTTTATGCTAACTCTTCAGCACCTGAGACTGTAAGAAATACAGACACATTCACTAATATCCACAGTTGTCTTCCAGTATTGTCCATGCTATTGGCTCAAGTCCCTCCTACCCTCTTGTTAACTCTAACTTGTGGTCACAGTGCGCTAGCCAGAGAGCTGATCAGAAACACAAGACCCTCTAACCTTTGATGATGAACCTGGTGAAATACTCGTGTATTTGCTTTCTTGATCCAAAAAGAGAATGAAATTCCTGAAAAAAGTACTGGGGTGCACAGGTGTTAGGGGAATATGCCTTCCCATAAGAAATCTTTCCGGAATCAGCCCGCTGCAGACAGGCAGGTCTGTGCATGCCCTACCGAGGTCCCGAGTAGCACAGAAGATGCCAAATCACCCCGTTGCAGACTGGCAGGTCTGCCCACACCCTACTGAGGTCCCGAGTGCCATGGAACATGCTGAGTCAGCCCGCTGCAGACAGGCAGGTCTGTGTAAGCCCTACCAAGGTCCCGAGTTGCACGGAACACACCGAATCACCCCACTGCAGACAGGCAGCCACCTGGTTCCACACTACAAAGACGCAGAGGACACCAGACTACCACACCAAGGGACTGAGTCCTGCTGCTCCTGGCCCAGAGGTAGGGGATTCTGAGCCACCGTCCCACTACTCCTGGTCCAGAGGAAGGGGATTCCTAATCACCATCCCTCCCACTGCTCCTAGCATAGAGGAAAGGGCTTTTGGGCCACCTTCTGTCCTGCTGCTCCTGGCCCAGAGGAAGGGGCTTCCCGGCCACCATCCCTCTGGCTGCTCCCAGCCCACAGGAAAGAGCTTTTGGGTCACCATCCCTATCGCTGCTTCTGGCCCCTGTCCCACCTCTCCCAGCTCAGAGGAGGTAATCTGTGCAGGCACTAACAGCCCCCCACCCCAGTCGAAGTGAGAAAACACATAAATAAGTCTCAAAACCAGACTTCCAGATCACCTACAGCAACCCCAAAGGGAAATGAGATGGAACACTCTGATACTCAACCACCTGGACCC